TACAGTAATACAGTACCTAAGGGACTGAGGAAGCGAAATCATAGACATTGTTCGGTAATTGCCAAAAGATACGAAGTTATGATAAATGTTTTAATAAGGATGTTAGTAACCCCAATTAAATGGGGGTCAAAGGGAATGACCTAGATAGGAAAGTATAAAGTAATTATCAGATAAAACGAGCTCTTTAATCACGAAAATTGGAATATGAAATGACAAATGGCAAAAGATTTGCAACTCTTAACATTATTGAGAATAGTGATTTAGTAAAGACGATAAGTAATTATCGATAACGTATTTATAGACTCTAGTAATTTACGTAAGTGACGTAGTTGTGACGCGTGGAGGATCTTATTAGGCAATCCATGCGGACAAAATTATCCAGATAGGAAGGTACAGCATTATTAGCAATGGGGACTGGTGATCCCCTTGCTAGTAATTACATGTAAGATCGACCTCCATGTGGTCACTAGAAACCATCGTGGCTAATTCCTGTTGAATTTTTCACAAACTGGCCTGACCCTATTGGTCGTCTTACCATCCTTTAGTTAATTCCATTACGATTCATCTACCCAAATAATCTAGTCATAAGTGAAAACCCTAACTACTTTACGTAAAATATATAAATATGGTATTTATATATTTTACGTAGAGTAGTTAGGTATAGAGTTTTTTTATACTATGTACTGAGAGATATATGAGCATATTTTATGAGCCTAGTCCTTTGGAGAATTGTCAACAACGTCACGTATTTTTTAAAGCTTCTCCTTTAAGGTTCCACATGTCTGTATTCAAGATTATTGTCGCGTATACGGAGACTAATCTTGAGATAGCAAAATACGCAATGAGACAATAATTTGTCGAGTTTTATTACTTCGCTCTTTTTTACTACTACTTGAACAAGTATACAATAAACTGAATTACTGTTGCTGAGAACGTCATTCTAACCTTCCACAATACTTCTAATAAAATACAACCTAGAAGCGATGTTATAAAAATTCTTAGACAACAAGCAACGAATATCCATTCACGATAAAGTATCTTAATATTCAGAAGGGGATGATTTTACGATAAAAAAAAGGTCAAAAAGGGTCGTAAAAATGTTACCCTAACATTGGTATTACAAGATCAGGAAGTCAAATATCGCTTCCTAGTCGGCCTTAATAGGTATTTTAATGGCTTGCCTTAGTGAGAAGGTAGTTTACTCACTGCCGAATTCATTATTTGAGTTGTTTGAAAAGAGAATTTCTTATAGGCACTTCTTTCTTGTTCGTTGTTAATGTTTATTCAATTTTTGTTGCCAAAAACTGGCAATTTGAGTTTTTATTGTGATGCAAAATACACTGTATTTGTGTGACTATATAGAATAAAATTCATTAATCTGCATGATGAGGATTTATTTATATTTATCTTATTACTTAGATTTTAGACTAATAGTGAGAGTGTCATTATCTAATTATCACGTCAACCTCTAAAATATGTTTTTTTTTTCTAATAAATACATACTTTCCAATTACTACTACGATACTAATGAAAACATTCATTATGCTTTAATACAGAAACTAAAAAAGGAGAAACTACTCTGTGCCTGGTCACTAAGTATTACAAATACTGTTTTACATTACTTAAATATTTGTTATTAAAATTTAAAGTAATATAAATCTGCTTTCTAATGCATATAATTATCAGGGAAATAGCAGGTTACTGAAAGGTTAGGTGAAACTGTTGACAAAATTAACATCGTAAAACTAGTTTCATGCACCAGTTTTGCAATGCAAATTAGGGATTGCACTGGTCATCGTACCGACACAGCAAAATACCTACAACAACACGCGAATTGCTTGTTCACAGCAAAATTTATCTAAAATAGTCGCACCTGAGTGGCGTGAAACTCCGCCCCGTATAAACTAAAATACACTTTAAAACTAGACAATGAATATTTGAAGGGAACTTGTACCGATTACACCTGAGCCAATTTAAATGAATTTGTATTCGTAATTGAATGCAAACAAATCGTTCGACCGTCATCGTTTTCTCAATGCAATGCAGAAGTCTTGTTTAAATGAAACAGAAAAGAATCATCTACTTGCCAATATTGTTTTATGCTTTGTACTTGAAGTCGACGATATTCAAACATAAACACACAAAAAATAAAACTTACCCACTGTCTTAATATTTTAAGACTATGGGTAAGTTTTATTTTTTGTAAAGTAATGTAATTTAAATTTAATACCACAAAAAACTAAACTTATAACAAGAAAACGATATAAACCCTTTCTATTCAAGATTTATATGTCAAATTCAACAATTGCGATATATTAAAAAATAACAAAGGCAACTACATTTCTTCTGAACATCTAAATTTCATTCCATTTCGAAGTCAGTTAAAAATCCTTAACCAATACATAATGAAAGTCGTAACAATAGATCGCTAAGAGCTTCCCCTCCACGGTATCCAATACAAACAGACAGACAGTCGGTGTATATAATAAAGTATTATTACTGTGACGTGAAGGACTATGCAAACATTTACTAGCTCGGTCGAGGATCTGACTAAATTTTACCGATGGTACCAATGTAAACACGTACGAAGTAGTTTCCTCACAATTTCATATTTCAAACATTGTGAGAGGAATAATTCTGAGGTATTTAAAACACAGCTATTAGCGGAATAAATCAAAATTGTCTAAATAGAATAGAATAGAATAGAATAGAAAATCATTTATTCAAATAAACTTACATTGAAGCACTTTTGAATAGTCATTACATTTTTTAACTACCGCTAAATAGAATAATAGTCCTAAAACCATTAATATATCACACGCAAATGTTTCACAAATAAAATAAAAGGAAAATTTTGAATTCAGTTGACAACTTTAAAATGGGAATAGATGTATTTGTTACAATAATATAAAAACTTAATAGTTACCTTTACACGACACGTTCTTTAAAGAGCGAACGCGCGGGAAACTTGGCGAGCGCAATCGTGAATGTCTTTTTTCATATTTTTTTAATATTTTACAAAGATTTATAAATGACCAATAGTTCTATAATTATATTCTTGATTCAGATCACTCCGCCGCGACCATCTTGTAATGACAAGTAATTGCTACAAAAATACGCTAAAGTACGCACGATAGAAGAGCGCGGGTATATGCGAGCTGATGGCGTGCGCGCGTTCGTTCTCGTTTTCTTTATCCACATTTACGTGCTCACTCTTTCCAGCGTGAAAGCCGATTCGCGAGTGAAAGAGCGTACGTGTAAAGGCAACTAATGACATGTCTAAATGTATGTATGTTTAATTTTACATGAAAATACGAATGAAAAAATGACTTTCAGAGAAAATTAATTTATTAATATGTGATTGACTATAGCGAACTACTTGAGGATTAATTTTACAGAGGTAGATTCTATAAGAAATAGTCCCTATTTCAGGCATCATGCAGTTGAGAAGGCAATGAAATTATGGGATAAGAAACCATAACATAATAACCTCCGGAATTGTATAGTAGAACGCTATAGTATAGTGGTATCATTAGTACATGATATATAACGTCCGTAATGCTGTTCATATATATTGACGACATTTATCATCAGGTGGTCAATCAGCGTAATTTCTACTCCAATTACATAAAGAATTAATTTAATTAACAGTGGTTAGAAATATATCTCATCTAAAAAATATACTACAGAAAATAATTACAATAAAATGACAATTAAAATAATTGAAAAATTAATTAATAAATAATTGCTATAAATAGGAACTTTTAAAATTATATAAATAGATTATTAGATACAAACAGATAATAGAATTTCAATATTCAATCAGTTAATTAAATTAATCATAATTATAATGAACAAGTATGTAGTAGATTAATTATTAATTAATAACTATTATTAATAATTTCAATATATTTTAAGGCCCCATGGAAGACCCCTTAGAATTATAATTATAATAGTAACGAAGCATATAACTTTTAAGTATTAAAGTATAATATACCCACTCAAAGTTATAACTTATTAACATCAAAATATTCAGGAACGTTACAAAATAACAAAAGATACTCTGTATACAACCATTTTATGAAAATTAATTTCATAAAGTGTTTTATACAGACTGGCTGTTGTCCGTAACTTTGTCTGTGTATAATTTGGATAATATTTATTTATGTAAAACGGACAACTTTGGTGATTAGTGTTAAAATTGTGAAGTATCTAATATTTTTTTCTACATAGCAATGCCACTGTTTATTCTTATTCATCGCCTTTCGAGGCCATATTTATCTACTGAATATAGCGTAATATTTAAAAAGTTAATATTGTCATATTAATAGGACTAGGATGTTATCTCAAAGGCCGTTTGACGGTCTACAAGGATTCTTCTGGTAATCGCCTACATATCTCAACAGTATCAAGTTATTCTGTGACGTCGGTGGTATTAGTTATTTATTTATAAACTCTTTATTGCACCTAGCATTTTACACAAGAATTATACAGAAAAGAGATATAGCTGTACAAAAACGCGGTCTTATCGCAAGCAATCGATCTCTCCCAGACGTAGGTAGAGAAAAAACAGCAACAAAATGCCAGTCAGTTATGCCATTCCTGAGAACTTGACATTTTGGTTCTCCTGAATTGACTGCATTACTCCCTTGATTTTTCGACATTCAATCAAAACATGCTAAATAAATTATCTGTGTAACGGCTGAAACAGGTGAGATCTAAACGACTTTATACAAAGTCGACCTCGTATAAAAATTGTCAATCCTTTTGTTAGTATAGGTAATGACGCTTTCAAAATACAAAGCAACAAACAGAAAGAGCATTATATAGTAATGTCAAGATGGAATAAGTGTAGGTCACTTAAGATACAATAAGCATAAAATTAGGTACTTTATGCTTATCTTATCGTCCTCGACTAGTGTCCTGCCAGCGTAGACAGGTACATGCTATTCCATTATACTTGTCATCAACTTAATTCATAGTAAAATAGAGTAACTCACCTTGCACTGTGGGAACTGCTCGGGGGGACGGCTGACTCTCCACCCTAGTAAAGGCGGTATACACACTAACGCACTCATAAGCCACACAGCAGCTATCATAAGCGCGGCTCGTGCTGGCGTCCGCTTTTTAAGGTAGTCCACGGCCTGTAGACAAAATTAAACACTCATAAAATATGTAAAATATACACAAATAAATTAATTAAAACGCGTAATAAATACTAATTTATTGCATTATTTATATACAAACTATTGCATATTGTATATTTGTATACGTTGAACTACTACGCATTTTTTTTAAAATTGAAATGGCAAATTATCTGATGTGCCACTAAGCGATAACCGTTGCTTATATACATGAATTACTACGAACATCAGGTTACTATGTGACACCCGTGATACCACTACATTTATCCAGCAAGTTCACTGTCTTTTATAGGCAGCAAGCTACTTAATAGATGAGACTAAGGTCGACTTAGACTAAGACGACTTTTTATAGTGTAGCTCTGAATATCATAGAAAAATAAATATAACCTAATCTTCTTGTCTATGCTAATATTATAAATGTAAATGTGAGACCATCTATTTATTACATTTTTGTTTCCGGTTTTTTTGACCATATGGCCACCAAAAGTTTTGAATATTGAAGAACATAAGCCTTTTTTCCTCAACCTATGAACAAATATCACAAATGCGTGGACTAAGTCAATTAGTAAACTACATTTTATTTCTTATTTTGGTTACAAGGCACAGCTATTACCTAAAATTAAGACTAAATTCACAATGTTGAACAAAATTGTCAAAGACAACGTTCGCAAAAAACACACACCTAAAAGAAACTAGATAAAATGCTAAAATTCAATTCCGTACGGTGTCAAGATGAATAATATGAGGGGTTGACAATTTTGTGCACAATATTTTCTGATTTTAAACAGAGTTGCTCCAAAATTTTGTTACCCAAAATACTTCATGTACAGTGAGAATGCAAGCGGCAATAAATTCCGTTATACAGCACATAAGATTTACAACTGTTCACTTTACGAGGAATGCATTTTCGAATGCATTTCGCAGGCTTAAAATTGTTTGGAACAGACCTAAATTTCAATCTTTAATATCAATCATCAATAATACGAACGGGGCGACAGGGAGAGTGATAAATCAAATCAAATCAAAATTAATTTATTAATGTAGGACATTTTAGTCCCTTATGGACGTAAAATTTAATTAATTAATTGTATTATATTTATATCCCTACCGTCCAGTTCAATATACAGGTTAAATTGAGAAGACCTGGTAAGAAACTATAGATTTTTTGAAGCTACTTTATTTACATTTAGAAAAATATTACTTACATAAACGACCAAGAGTGTCTTATATGAATAAACAATACACACTTTGACTTTTTGTAAAGAAGGTGAAAACGATCATATATCTTTCCTAATAGTAAATGATTATCATCACCAATGAACATCTGCAATACTAGAAGAATTGATAATTTATACCTTATAGAAAGAATGTAGTCTTAAAATTTTTGATATCATATCGGTTCGGAAACACTTCAGCTGAAATTGATTTCACGGTATGTTTCCATGTGGCAAAAAGTTTCTAAAAAAACGCACAGTGGTGGGCCGCGTCGGCTGAGATGGGCACAATGTAATTTTATTTGATCCTTTCTCCGTATTATCTAATGGTAACTCCTACAGTTACAAATATTCTTTTGATTTATATTATTAGAATGAAAAACAAGCTGAAGGACCACCTAATGGCAAGTGGCGAGCTTTACATATATTTATGCACAAAGAACGGGAATGATTTCACGTCATCATGTAACGCCTGTGATACCACTTCTACATTGCTATTAGAGATACAAACGTACCCTGCCATTTTAACTGCTATATGTATATACATATATGTATTGTATAGATAGCCATAGATTAATAGCTACCACAGAATATCCGTAGCTAATCATAAATAATAGTTTGACGACCTCGGTGGTCTAGCGGTCTAGTCTACCGCTTTACGACCGATGGTCGCGGGTTCGATTCCTCGCACGGCACAAACATTTGTATTCATGAGTATGATTGTTTATATCGGTCTGGGTATTTTCTATGTATAATATGTATGTATTTACGAAAAAAAAAAATCTATGTATTTGTATCAGTTGTCTAGGACCCATAACACAAGCTTTAGCTAGCTTAACTTGGATCTAGATGGCGCTGTGTGATTATTATTATTATTATTATTACATATATATATATATATTTATTATATCTCCCTGACGGGGGTAATTCAAACACGCGATTATTATTATTATTATTATATTATTATTATTATTATTAATCAACCTACTTTTTGGTATAACTCCTGTGGAACAAAACGAATCTTAAATTATTATTATTACATTATTTGTATCCTCTATTCGATTAAAATATCGCTTTAACGCTATAACTATCCTTTTCATTGATTTCTACATGCCAGTTATATACAAATATAGTATTTTGATATTATTCGCGTTACTAAAATGTTTACAAAAGCAAGGCTTCATTTCATAATACACATATACTGGGAATAATATATACATTATATGACTACATACTTATATTAGGGAACATATAAATCTCGTCATCAATTAGTTAATAAGCTAGTATATATAATATTATTCTGTTATGAATAATAAAAACTAACAAAAAATACAAAAAACTTATTAGCGTAAAAGCTTGTCACTTATAGAATCAACCTACTTCTCGGTTTTTCCCCTCTATAGAGTATCGCACAATCGCCTATACAAACTTTATTTCCTTGACATCAATCCATCTGGAAATATTGTGCGCTGAGTTTTTGTATTGACATATTACATTGCACTAGGTAGGTACTCCTGGTTTGTGATGTTATTACAGGTATATGACTGTATAAAGATTTCCTAAACTCAGTGGGTTGTACAAAGCAAAACCTATTTATTATGATTCATATAAAGCTACATTTTTAGACCCTCTGTTTTAGTGTAGAATTTCAAAACAGCGCAGTTATAATAATTTCTGCGATTTGGTGACTTCCTCGATGATCTACATGATCTACATGATGGTTTACATCCGATGGTCGCTGTTTCGATTCCTCGCACGGTGCAAACATTTGCATTAATGAGTATGATTGTATGTATTAGTCTAGGTGTTATCTACGCATATTATGTAAATACCTACATTACAAAACAATCTTTGTATTAATATCAATTATCTAGTGCCCATAAGACAAGCTCTGCTTAGCTTGCGACTAGATGGCATTGTCGTAATTATCCAGGGTTATTTATTTATGTATTCTGCGATTTGCATGTTTCTCTCTCCTAAATATTATAAGAAATTAAAAAACTATCTCAAGGCAACTGTTCAAATAATATCTATAGATACATTATAGAGCATTAGGTTAAGTAGCACTGATCTGAAATATCGATTTGGTATATGATTTACGCGATGTATTCTGATTACATTTGCCTCTGAATTTAGACACGTTTTGTGGCATAAGTGTAAAGCGATTGAATACTATAAAATCACTTATCTTTATATATGTGTTATTATCTTTATCTTTATAGATGGAAAGAGAGGAAGGGAAAGACCAAGACATCGCTATATCAAGCAAGTTAAAGAAAAAGTTGGAGTCGTGTCGTATCAACAGCTAAAAGATAGAAGATCGTGGAAGGTAGCCGGAGCTCCACCTACAAGAGAAAAGCTCTTAAATTATGAATGAATGTATCTCTATCTTTACAAAATAAATAAATAATAAACGGTCCCGGAGAGTTTCGATCTCAGTTGTCTAGCAGTTTAGCATCGCCGTACATCATATGTTTGCATATTTGATTCTTCGCACGGCAGAAACAGTTGTTCTTTCTATGAGTATGGTTGTATTGGTCTGGGTTTTTACTCTATATATTATATATGTATTTACAAAAAAAGTGTTTAAATATTTATATCAGTTGTCTAGTACCCACTACATAGACCCTGTGTAGCTAATATCTATATGGCGTTCTGTGAATTATTCAGGGTTATTATATAAAATGGGGTCAAGATATAGGATAAAGAAAGTTCTGAACAATACCCCAGGAAGAGGCAGTAATTAAATATCAATAAATATAGAACCGGTAATGTATTAAAATATAATGCAGATTTGACTATTACTGTTTTTTCGTATAATATTTAATATTCTCGTATAAATGTGCGTATACTAATTGATAAATAATCGTGTTCTCTAAATCAGTAAGAATGTAATATTATGTTTTACTTTATTTTATAAATTACAAGACAAGTTATTACTTACTCGTATTTAATGAGTTGAGTTTTATTAAGTTTTACTTTTAGGTCTTTACTAAGTAACAAAGATGTTATAAGGTAATTTATAATATAATAATTTTCATCAGTAGTTTAAATGATTTCATTATATAAATTAAATAAATAGAATCTACATCATTTATCACTATCACTTTATAATATATTTACGTGATAATTATTAAACTCGTGACACCTCATTATTTGTACCACAATTAAGGGTAAGCTGTTCGATCTTTTGAATGTTCCGATTGAGTTACATGCCGTTATGATCAAATGGAAATCATATTAAACCCGTTTTACGGATCAACAGATTTAGGTAACATGTAATTATAGTATCATTTGCGTTACTTCACTGATTTCAAATGGATCCAATAGTTTATGCTAAACTGACAGGTTAAATAAGTTTATTTCATAATTTATCATTTATTTAGCTGTAATTTTAGATGAAGTAAAATACAGCCAAAAATGATTTTTATAATCAGCTCACATAAGAATTTTAATTAAGTAATGATGGAATGAACTATGGAAAGTCATGTCAAATACCAACACATAATACCAATTATTAAAAGAAGATTTGTAAATAAGTTTATTTATATTCATGAACAGATGCTGCTTGTAGAGGCTGGTCCGTTCTGATAACAATGATTTATTTTGTTATTCAAGTAACTATTTAGTTATGTCAACTTTGCAAATTGGCAGTTTGTGATCACAGAAAATTTTAAATTGTGATGTTGAACAATATTTGTTAAAATAAAGCAACATGCTAGTTTATTCCTCATTCTTCTTCTGATGAGTCTGCGTTCCGAATGAGTGGTAGTTTAATAATGTATG